CCCCCCCCCAGAACCGCCACTGCATTCCAGACTAAATGGTCAGAACACAATAAACTGAGAGATCACATGGCAGGATGGAAAGCGCTTTTATTTGCTAAACTGGTGCTTGAACAGTGATTTACAAAGAATTACGTGACTGCATTTTTGAGGTCATAGTAAACCACAGCATGGACATTAGGATGGATGACAGTTACAGAGCGCAATTAAAGAAATGAGGAACAAATGGAACAAGAGTGGCACTATAGCAGAAAGGAAAAAACAAAACAAAAACAAAACACAAGAGCATATAGAAAAAAAAATCCAAGTTCACCTTGTCCTTAGACGGGATGTATCATATCTTTTTATAGTATATGTACAGGAAAACAAAAAGCTCATATTTGCCCATGGCAAGTCTACAAACGTCTGCATAATTTGTACAAAATTGATTTCCAAACAACAGTTAGCTAGTGCAAATCTTTTCCCGTTCAAGCCGACTGATGACTTTTACAAACAGTTGGTGTGAAAAAGACTTGACTCCTATCCTAGTTTATTCTATTCACAGTTTTACACGTCAACAAAGTCATCATGTTTCCTTTTACCACCCCCTAAAAAAAAGTTACGTGGTGAGTTTGTGTGGAGAATAAGTGCTTTGGTCACCTTGTAGTTAATCCAACAAACAACGTATTGTGTGTGTGTGTGTGTGTGTGTGTGTGTGTGTGTGTGTGTGTGTGTGTGTGTGTGTGTGTGTGTGTGTGTGTGTGTGTGTGTGTGTGTTTTTTTTTATATATATATATATATATGTGAATGACAGAGACAATTACCTGAGCCTGGATCACATGTTAGTAATCGGCGCCTCCACATCTCTGTCTAATGAATTTGTCCTTCCACGGAAGCCGACGTCATCGTCATTGTGTGGATGAGGAAACGTCGTCGGGGCCACTCCGCAACCTTGCTACTTTTCATTTGGTTCAGTTGCTTTCAGTAATCACACAGGCCATGACTATTTCAGTTAAAAAAAAAAATCCAAAGTAATTTAAGGGTTACACACAATAGTTGTTTAGATTAAGAGGGGATTCCTTGAAGAAATTTCCCCAAGGTAAGGGATGCCAAAGCAGTTTGTTTAAGTGATTTGAGGAGTTTCATTTTGACCAAAGTAGTCAAAGTAGTGCCTTGCCAGCTTCTTGGGGCCAAGGAACTATGTTGAAGTGGTTTGAAGCATTTCATTTCGACATGTGTGTGTGTGTGTGTGTGTGTGGGCGTGTGCATTCTGATCCATGTTTGTCTGTGTTCCTGAATGTCTGGCCTGAATGAAAATAGCTTATATGTGACGTGGTGGTGGTAAATTATGTCATTTCTATTGCATATTTTGTTGAACAGGAAAGAAAGATCGCCACCTTTCTGAACAAGACGAGGCAATTGTGTTATTAGTACTTAAAGTATTTGTGTATATCTCTCTATATAATATCTCTATTTTTTAATTGGTATGTGATTCAAAAGAGCAGCAGCAGAGATTTGTGTTCACTGAATGCGAAAGTAAACCTGAAAGATGGCAAAAAAGTGACTTTATTGAGAGGCAGACTTTTTATGGAGGGGGGGAGATGAAAACTAAGGACTTAAAAAAAA